ACAAAGCCACCATCCCCATCTTTGTTTCTCTTAAGTATCGTGACAGTTGAAAAAATGATGAAACACTTAATGTAGTTTTAAGTGAAATAAAAAATTAATGCAGTCCAAAATATAATTGTTTCAATAAATGTATTTTAAATAAAATTAGAATTTTAGACACTTAAAAATATTTCACAAATTATCACAAACCACTTTTATTGCTATAAACACTACCTTAATAGTTTCAGTATGATCAAATACAACATATATATTTAAGATATACAGGACACAAATTGCATCACCTCTGATTTAGAATAATTGAAGAAGATTGCTGATGCAAGACAGCAGTAGAAGAAAAGGTAAGATAAAGAGAACCAAACAGACTACAATCATGTAACAGAAAGTATTAACAAGAATAGACCCCAAAAAATGCTGTTACTAAGCTATGTGCTCCTCTTTACCTCAAGTAAGCAGTATCAAGTATTTAAGTACCAGCCAATGCTACCACAACCCTAAAAAGAGACTGCTGAAACACAGTAATGTTTATCAGCAGACAAGACTTCGCACACATAAAACTTCATATATGTGCTAGTAACAACTTCAGTCTCACTTAGAAAACAGTGACTTAGACTCAGCACAAATTGTGACACACCAAAGGGATCACAACTTTTCAAGGGCAAATCAAATTATATTCTTCCTGAAGCTAGTGACCTAAACATGGCCATAAAAAACTCAGCAGGGGCAGGATATACTGCCTCTGGCAGCCTGCTGCTTCTCAGAATTTTCTTATCATCTGCAGTTTGCATGTGTCCAAGATCGAACCTGCGGTCTGTTGGAAAGTTCTTAATTTAGTTTCAGTGTGCCATGTTAGTATTGCAAACTGCATGCACTGAGAGAATAACGGCACAAGAAACAATACTCCAAGTCTGATCTAGGTTTACAAACCATACACCTTTGCACCATTTGAATTCCACTACTAAAAAAAAGAAAAGCAGTCTGTATAATAACAATGCAGTGTGCAGAGCAATGTGGACATTTTGGACCTGGCTGTGTTGGTTAGGATAACAGAAGAAACACTTTTAGTAAATTCAACATAAATTCCCATTCTGACTTATATTGATAGAACAAAAGCCCTTACCCCCTTCCTTCTTTTTTTCTCCTCTTGATACAAGATGATTAGCTCATTTTATTAAAAAAAATTGATCTAGTATTTTTTCCAACAAAAGCTATTATCTGGTTTGGGTATTGTCAGTGCAGCTTCACTGGTAATTAACAAGTGTAGATAGAACCAAAACCTGGCATCTATAAAGAAAAAGTTTCAACAATATTGTGTTTATTTTGCTATAATAATCTTTGTAGTTTTTCAATCAACACTAAGGACTTACTTCAACATATATAAGCCATATGTTTCTAAACAGCAGGTCAGGAAATGAAGATAGAGAATGAAAACAACTTTATAGATCATGAAAGATTACATCAGAGGTATTATTACATTAAATAGAAAATACTTTATTACTGAGATGTTAACCAATGAATGTACATCGTAAGAACAGGTAAGTGGCAGTGAAAATGGTGAGAAAATGGGGCCAAAATTAAAAAAAAAAAAAAAAAGCCTGAACTGAAAACTCATTGTCAGAATAAACAATTATATTAAAACACAGTAGCCAAACATACACCACTACAAAATAAACCAGAAACTATTCATACAACTCATAAAAAGATTATCTGACCCTTCGGAATCTTTGACTCCACAAAGACTCACACACAATAATGAGTAATTTAATCTGTAATTTAATTTAATTTAATCTGAGCAGAGCTCAGAAGTTCCCCTAACCAATATGAGCAGGATTAAACCCACTACAGTGGGAAGAAAAGATGGGAATTAAAAATAGATTTAAGAAATTAGGTGCCAAATGTGTAAGTCTTTGATTTTAGACTTCTTAAAAGCTTTAGAAGAAAGAAATAAAAAAGAGTAAGTACTAAATTTAAAGAACTTTACCTTCAGCATGCTGTTTGCCAGCTTCACTAGAAACTCTATGTCTGAAATTGCCTAGAACAAGGAAAAACTGAAAAAGGCTGACTACTTTGACAGAGACTAGTTTTAGTGAGAAAAACGTAAAATCTGAATAGAACTATCAACTTCAACTACTTAACCTAAACAATCAGGAAGTACTGACAGCGAAGTCTTTGTCTGTGCAACGAAGTTACTAATGGTAACTTAGGACAAGAATGATATTTACTCAGTGACTCAAATTATGCTAACACCAGAGTCACACACAGACATTGATCTTAATGACAGAATTTTTAAACATAATGTGATGCTGCTGAAAAGCATACAATCTTATTATATTGGTTCTTTACAGCATGGAGATACATTGTCACTTTGTCAGCTTCACTTATATCTTATCAAATATCTTAAATAATTACGGCCTGTTTTGCAGGACTTCAACAGTCAAGGAATTACCAAGGAAAATTGGGAAGCACTGTAGCATAATCTCCCTGTATTCTCAAGAGGAACCAGTAGCTTTGTTGATGATACAGAAGTATAAATATTTCCACTACATGTTCCTTTATAAAAAGGTAGTGAAAATTACGCTGTTTAATTTCAAATACTTGCCTTAACCTGTAATATTTCACATACCATGCTGCCAACATTCCCACTACATAACATACTACAACAGGAACAAACAGTTCAATATTGTTTGTCAGCACAAGCTCAAGCAAGGCTGGTTAAGATTAGTTACAATGAAAAGGAATAATAACAGAAAGTAAGTTTATCCACTATGAGAATGTATAAAACATTTTCATTTGTCAGGATTCCACAATCTCTGAACTGGGAAAAAGATGGCTTCAAAACAAGTAATAAAGGTGACTACTTGTTTTAACACTTTGGTTTGCTTTGGAATATTTTCTATCAATCAGAAGCCACAAGTAACATCTAATCTGCTTAAAAGATTTGCAGTGTGCCTCTTTGGCTCTATCACTGTTGCTCTTAGCTTTCACAATCCACTTGCATCATGTGCTCTGCATGGTCATTTCTTAGGTAGTTTTAAGATGCTCAGTACGTAACCTGCAACAATATGGAGTACAACACATATGGAGAATTAGCTTCTCCAACAGTCATTTTACTGCAAAACTAAAAAGTTCAAACTGAATAAATATTTGAAGAGTCCAGCAGCTTACCATTTCCAAAACCAAATAAGTTAAATAAGTCCTAGATTTTTGGACTGTCTCCTGTGAATTATTAAAAGCATATTTATAGGACAGTCCATGCATTATACGGAAGCTACTCCATGAGGACACAGCAGCACCAGAGTGAGACCCCCTTCACTCAACACCCTTTAAAAATGATTACTTCCCACATTTAACAGTTTTTATATATACCTACATACACATCTACTTATGCAAGAGTACTGTGCATAAATGAAATTGGTCTCAATGACAACACTTTTAAAATATAATGCAATGCTGGGTAAAAACCTCACATAATGAAACATAAGAAAAACAAGGAGATATGTTTTCAGTAGGATATCTGCTGCATAATGGATGCTTTCCTTGCTAGGAGATGAATACAAAAAGTTGAAGTTTAACACATGTCGTCCAAGGAACCAGGACTACTAGATAATCTAGTTAGAAAAATACTTATCTAATAAAAAAATTGAGTTTTCTAAAGAGTTTTGTATCTTAGATATTTTCTGCAGTGAAGGCTACAATATAAAAAAAAAAGTATTAAAAAAGTAATTCTTTGTTCTTTACTCAGGAAAAAAGGTGGCCCTCAAGAATAAAGGTTGTCCTCAAGAAAAAAGGCTGCTATTTATCTGCTTGTAGCTCAGTCTGTTTAATCACTGTTAAGAGATAAGACATCAAAGCATACAAAGTGTTGAATACTTCCAAAAATTCTTAGCTATAAGTAGATGAATGGCGCTGCAAGCATAGACTGACCTCTTTCCCCATCACGCCTAAACCCTCTGGCCTACAAAGCGTTTAGGTCTTCCAGATTTGAAATAACAAACCAACTCTAATTGACAGTAGCTTCTTATCTGAAGAAAAGAAAAGGAAAGAAAAAGAAAGGAAAAAAGTCACTGCCTCCATGAAAAGGATGAAGTTGGGAAAGTGTGCCCTGATGCTCCAAGGCAAACCACGTCTTAGCATCCAGGGCACCCATTTTGGACACAGTAAGAGCAAACCATTCTGTGTGATGCATTTCAGACAAAGTATGAACTACGGAAGTACTACTTCCGTGAAATATATATAATTTTTATAGGAGACAAAAACGTGCATGACTGTTGAACAGCACCTGACGTGCACACCGGGCACCGTGGAAGTTTGCCCCGAAAGTTACCAGCAAGACCCGGAGTTCACCACAGGCCGTGTGTCTGTGCAAAGCACACAGGTCCATCGCTCTGCACCACCAGGCTGTCAAGGGGAGAGGGCAAACATTCCGTGCTAAGGTAAACCCTGCCTTCTCCCGCTGCGGAAAACGGCGGAATCGCTGTCGGTGAGGCGAGGCTGCTCAGCCTAAGTGACACGCTACCGATGCCAAGGGGGCCGGGGACGCGCATTACCTGCCAGGCACCGGGGCCAGGAGGGCTCCCACAGCCACGTCCCGCCTCACAACGGGGTCTGAACACCGCGGACCCCGACCCGTCCGGGGGCCGCCGACAGTCGCCCCCGCGCCCCGGCTCCCCGCGCTGCCGCCCAGCCCTGCCCGCCGCCGGGAGCGGGGATGCTGCTGCCTTACCTGAGCCAGGACCGCGGGGAACACGCGCGGTCGCCCGCTGTAACACGCCGCCAGGCAGCCTCCCCCGACCAGAGCAGCGGCGGCGGCGGCGGCTCCCCATGCGGGCGGGCGGCGCTGGCTGCGCGGGGGCCTCATCCCGGCGAGCCGCCCCCGCAGCGGGGCTCGGGCGGCCGCCGCCACCGCCGCTCTCCACGCCGCCGACATCTTCCCGGAAAACGGCGCGGCGGCGGCGTGGCGCATGCGCAGTGCCGGGCCCGAGGCCGCGGGGCGGGGGCAGCTCCGGCCCGGTCCCGCCAGGATCGCGCTGGCCCCGCTTCGCTGTCGGGAGCGACGGCATCCGCACAGCCAGAGGGACGGAGCTGGCAGAGAGGTAACCCGAAAGGAGGGTGTAGCCCGGCGGGGGTTGGCCTCTTCTCCCAGGCAACAAGCGACAGGATGAGAGGACATAGTTTCAAGCTGCGCCAGGGAAGGCTTAGGCTGGGCATTAGGAGGAGTTCCTGCACAGCAAGGGTAGTTGGATATTGCGATGGGCTGCCCAGGGAGGTGGTGGAGTCAGCGTCCCTGGACGTGTTTAAGGAAAAACTAGACGTGGCACTCAGTGCTGTGGTCTGGTTGACATGGCTGTGTGATGTGCCACAGGTTGGATTCGATGATCTCGGAAGTCTTTTCCAAGCCAATTGATGCCCTGTTTCTGTAACGCTGGCGGAGTGCGCCCGCTGCCTCCGTCAGGGGCCAGGAAGCCCCCCCAGGTGAGTGCAGGCGGCAGGGCCCCTTTCCAGGCTTCCGCTGGGAGACAGGCGGGGCAGGGCTCGGCCCGGCAGGGCAGGGGCAGTGTTGTGTCAGGGGACAGGGCACGGAAGGCCTGGCCTGTGCGGTAGGGAGTGAGAAGTGGCGACGCTTGCAGCGGTCCTGCGGCCCCAGGGGTGCCCCCGCCACCCCCGGGTGTCTGTCACAGAGCGCAGCTTCACCTCGTTCCCTGATGGGACTCTGCTCCCAGAGCAGGCTCCCGCTGCTGAGTACATGAGGAACGGTGGGACACGAGTCGGGTTCGAGGTCCTGCGGGGTACTGAGCAAGGCAGGTTAGGTGAGCAAGGCAGGTTAAGTGAGCTTCCGCAAGCGAGACTGGCCCGGCGCTGATGATCTCCTAGAGTTGATGGCCCATATGGATGTGTTGCTCAGTGTGTGATCCAGATCAGAAACAACAAAAGCATGAGCAAGTTTAGAATATCCTTTTCAAGGGCAGAGTAGAGTTTCTCATGAAATACAGATGACAGAAGATGTGTTTACAGAAATTGTCGTGGCAGAGGTGTTAATTGAGAAGCATTACAGAATTACTTCGTTGGTAGTAACACTTGTGGCAAAAGACTACTACTCACCGTGAATGCTTCAGATGCTTCAGAGTGCTTTTTTTCCCCTCTGGATGCCATAGTTTTAACAAAGCTATGTAGGTCTTGGTTGGTTACACTTAAACATTAGTTGATCACATTCGAAAATTGGGCCATCTGGAAATTAATGATAAGGTCATATGAAGTAAAACGGAGCATGAGTTAAATGTCATTTTTATGTTGGCAGTAGCAGTGTCCATGTTACGAGAGTAGTTCACCTGGCAATTCCGCGAATGTGGAGAAAGACTGCTGAGAGAACAGCTGCATGCAATTTTCTATTACTTTGGTCTTTGGTTGAGTACCTTCAGAAAGTACTCAGTCTTTTTTATCAAACTGTCTTCCTTCTCTTTCTGATATGACAGCCAGTACTGTGTTGTCAGCATTACAAATGTTCTGGTACAGGCTCTGAAACATGGAACAGTTTCAAAACAGGGCTTTTTTGCCCTCCATTCACTGACAAAAGGTGATCATCCATCAGTGCCACCAAAGTAATTTTATTTCACTCTCCTTCCCTGACCTGAATTCAAAGTCATTAATTCAGTTTCATAGAACATAATTTCAGTCATTTTACTAATGGCATCTCAGAATTTATGCAGTTTTCTTTTAGTTGTTCAGTGGGTGTCATTCTGTGAAGTGTTTGAGACATCTTCAGGAATCTTAGGACCCAAGTCCTTAGCAGGATACAAACCCTTCAAAAACAGTTTCTCTGGGGAGCACAAATGACTGCTCATTGCAAAATCACCCAGTGATTTACCGTGCTACTTGCAGGGTAAATGGTTTCCATCTCTATGTGCTAATATACATTGCAAAAGCTTTTTCCTATTCCCAGAGACCTAGAAACTACCTCATATGGGAAAAGCCTTTTTAATCCCAATATAAAACATAGGAGCAAAATCTGTCAATTGTTATACTCAAACACAGTGCAAAATCCCACTTTTTCTGTAAAACGTGTAGGAAATTCCTATTGCCTATTTCTGTTTCCCTCTAGACAGACAGAATATTTTCCATCCCAATCTTATAGTTTGACACATAGTATTTGTACCAGCACCTTAAAAGTACTTTACTTTCTGTGTAAGCCAATAGCAAGCATTTCATGAGTGCTGGCAACATCTTAGAAATGTCTTGTAAAGGATGGCTGAGAGATTTGATTTCTGAATGCCAGATCCCTTGATGTTGAACACACGACCACAGCTTAGGCAAGGAGGTTTAATTCATTGTTCTGACAGGCATTCTCAGTTTTTCTTTAAGTAAAAACAAATAAGTAGGTCATTTGTCTTTCCTCAGATGACATTCCTGCCTGGAACAGATACAACTGCAGTGTGAATGGAGAGCTATCCTCATATGGCTGCAAGCACGCAATGCTGATGGGCGAGTTAAGTGTCCTTAGCCACCCCTTCTCTCTCTGCAGTAAATTCACCTCTTGGGCACAAGGGCCTGGAGTATGAAGCTGCTGCTGTGCTAGTGCTACTCCCAGCTGTGCTGCTGTCACTGTGCTGCTACAGTTGTGAGTGCTAGAACACACGCCTTAAACAGCTAGAATACTTTTGGTGAGTCAGACATAGTCCTGTTGCACCCCATGCAGTATCACTGCAGGGGAGTTTATGACAGAAAGCAAAGATCTCTGTGGTCTGTAGAAATGACACTGACAGTCTCATAAATGTAATACAAGTTTCACCAGACAAATTGAGTTATGTGGTGACAAATGTCATCAGCTACTGTATACTGCAGCACTAAAATGTTACCTCCCTTTGCCATCCCACTCAGTTTGCTCTTCTTTGCTCTTGTAGAAATCAGAAATCATTACATTTAGCAAGATGTCTACCTGCTTTTTTAAAAAATGTTTTCTGTGTGCTTTCCGTCTCTAGACTTTGTACTAGAGGTGTTTTTGCATTGCTGAAAATTGGAAAAAGCAAATGAAAATACTAATAAAATGTTTTCTGAAATGTTTAAAATGTAATTTTTCTTCAAGATTCAATGTCCCACTGAATAGTTATGTAACAATGCTTAAATGCAGTCTTTTCTTAGTCTTTCATTAGGCATAATGAATACAATGTAAAGTCACATCAAAAGATAGTAACATACTACCATGAGACAAAAGCCTTATGAGTCCTGTCATTCATAGGAAATCATGTTTGGCAGAAACATATTACTTTTAAGTTTCATTACAAAGTAAAAAAAAAATAAATTAAAATGCCGAGTAAACAGACTCCTCATCATGTCTGAAGGTCCACTTCCACGTCTCAGTGTCTTTTAAGAGTGTTAGGCCAGGTTCCAAGAGGGATTCACTTTCTACTAGAACTCCAATCCCCGCAAGAGCATTAGGCTTACTGCCAGCATTCATTTAGTCTCAGAACAGCTTAAATTAACTCCTGTTACATTCTGTCTAAACCCTTTCTTACAGAGTAAGAGTTGAGAGCTGGGTTCAGTCAGTTAGTCTGAAGGCCACCCATGATGCTTGTCTGTCTTCCCGGACTTCAAATGCTGCCTAAACTGGATTGGGGAAGGCAGTGATCAGCCGTTTGTAAGTTGAGGGGGGAAGCTGGCAAGCCATCTTTTGTATACGTGTCCCCATTTAATGAGAAATAGCGTGGGGGTTGGTCTGACTTACTTAACATAAGTACATATGACAGTAAGCTCCAACCAAATGTGAGATTACAGTAGGCTGTGCAGTGTTCTTACAGTATTTTGATACTTTCCTGGCAGAGGTGAACAGACAAGCTAATCAAAAGACAGCAAATATCACTGCTTGGTTTTGTAAGTCAAGAATTGAATTTTAAGATGATATTTTGCCCAATGTCAGACAGAAGATTGAAATGGAAGGTCTCACAAAGCCAGACCTCCTTTAACCCCTTCAAACTTATATGATCTCTTAAGAATATCACTTCTGTTTTACTTTAGCAAACATGTTTGCCTGTGATTACAAGGCAAACACTCTGAAGCAGGTAAGGATATAAGCACAGGGAAGACAAGTTTTCCGAAAAGCGATAGCACAAAATATTCTTAGCACACTTAGTAAAGTACAGGGTAATTGGACAGAACTGGACAGTTATTAAAGTTGGCCAGCTGATACCTTGGTGTCTATCCAGATGCTCAAAAGTCCTGTACCAAGGTCTTCATGGTGAAGGCTAGAAGTTGACTTCAGGGATTTCCAAAGCTGCTTTGTATGACTGTTATTCACAGAATAGTTAGAACCTTTCAAGGTCATCCAGTCCACCTCCCTCCCAGATGAGCAGGAACATCTTCAGCTAGGTCAGGATGCTCAGAGCTCTGTTCAACCTTGACCATTTTCATAATTTGCATCCATCCCTCCTCCACAAGAAAAACAAGCAAACAAAAACAACAAAAAGAGGAGAGATTAGTTTCAAGGAATCTGAATTACCTTCCTCAGATGAAGAATCTTTTAAGCTGTTAGTTTACAAAAAGTCCAGTTGTTTTGTATGTTTTGGAGATGATGGAAATGGAACTAATTACAGTCAAGATTAATCCACTAGTAAAACTGAAAATAAATGTGAGCATTTTGTGACTAGATATCACTATTCAGCTCATAAATAAGAGTTCACAGCAATTTTTGCAGTTAGGAGCTACACTATAAATATAACTTCAAATATTTTCAGCTTGCTAAAGGTACTAGAAAGCTTATCATGATAGAGTCCATTTAAAAGGAAAAGAGTTAAAATTTATCTAAGATATGTGTCCCCAAATACCTCTCATAGCATTCATTTATATTGACCTTTCTAACACACTGTTTTCCCACACTCTTTGTATGTAGTTAGCTGAAAAACATTGCTGGCATATGTAACAAGTTCCCTCAAACTTCAGAATTACTTTTTTGAAGTTAAGTTGAAAATCAGAGAAAAAAGTTTAAAGCAAAATTCTTACTTAAAAAAAATAAATTATCTGAGAATGGAAGATAACAGCAATGGAATTGGAATGATTTTGAAATGTGGTTTCTAAGTTGGCAGTGACCTTTTTGTGATAAATATTTGTTTTATTAAAGAAATGGTACACTGTAATGTGAATACAAAAGGCAGATCAAAACTGATACTCTTTTGTGAAGGAATAGCCATTTCTTAAATTCGAAAAGTATATTTGCTATTACTTTCCAGGTAAGGCTATAGGTCTCAATTCTGTGACAAGTTTCATATATTATGCCTAATTTTAAGCATTTTGAAAAATTCTGTGGTCTGAACCAAGACTGCTTTGACTACATAAAATTAGCTGTACACATAAATCTTTGAAGTCTGGGGACTTTCTTGCTATTAGATGAGAGATGTAGTTCAACTGCTGTTTTATCTTTTAATTATAAGATCCCATGACACTTTTGCAACAATAGAAGAGGTCCCCTGAAAACGCTTTAAGTAATGGAATTACATTATGTGCTTTAGTGGTTATATTTTCCTCATGTTTCCAGCTGAGTAAGTTATCTTTCATTTTTCTTCCTTTGCAAACATTCTTCTGCAGTGCTGCTAGCAGTGATTAAAAAGAGACCCATATACAAGTGAAATCCTATTATTTTGACCTTTAACCTGTATTTTTATATACATACAAATATATGCACATTTATACATGTATTTTGCCTATAATATATTGATCATAGGATATCCTGAAATCTTATTACTGGTGCTTCCTATATAGAATTGTGTTGCTGAGACCTTGCTGTATTTCAGGGAGCATTTCTTCTCTTTCCTTTCATTCTCTGAAATCAGTGTGAGCATTGCAATCAATTTTAATTATACCAGTATTTCGCCCTGAATTTTATAGGAAGAGTTGGCAGCAATAACTATAGTTAAGATTGCCTAAGACTTTGTGCTGTATAGATTCTGTACTTAAAAAGAGTGGGGTAGAAATTGTGTGTAAGGGTACAATAAAACATGTCAAGATTAGCAAAGTTAATTTTATCTGTGTTACTTGAAAAACCAGAAGGATTTATTAGGGACTCTGACTATATTTTTAAGTGCAGTGTGACTGAGACTGATATAATTTAAAATAATTATTACTATGTAGTTCAAGAAATACTATAAAGATGGCAAGGCATTACTTCACAGTATTACCAAAGACACAATTATAAAATTATCAGTATTGTAACCTGTAAAATATTTTTAAAATATATGTTTTCTGGAAATGTTGAAGTAGCAGAAGCATCATATATTCTTGTTTCTTTTCCCAGACTGCAGTCTAAAGCAACTATTAATAACATGTTGCACTGCTACTGTCATTTGTTAATGAAAGTTACTTTAATTATCGCATCCTTAATACTACTGAAGATGGTGAAGTATATATAATTATTTCTGTGAAAAAGAAAGGAATAATAAAACTCTAAATTACTGTTTTCTCTAATGTATTCCATTATTTCAAACAGTGTTTTCTTCTTTTGCTTGGAATACTATTTATAAGTGTATTGTGTATTCTGGAGGATCTGAATTGCATGTGTCCGAGAAGGTATAAGCTATACCAAGAGCAAAACTGGGATACACAGACCGTCTTACAAGATTTAGAGAATCTCCTGCTCACATTGCATTTATATTGTTTATGGGCCTCATCTTCCTGCAGCTTAGGTGTAGACTCCTGTGGCTGGTCTATAATGGAGAGATTTAGTTGAAGCAGTCCAGAGGATCCACAGCACATCAGCCATAACTTAATTTCTGAGAAACAGAGGAGTCTGGTGGAACTAAAGCATGCACAAGGAGGTTTCTGTAAAAGGGCAGAGGTGTGTAAGACATGGGTAAGGTTCATCCCACTAAAAAGAAATGTCTACATATAGGTGTCTGTATCTGAATTTATCTCCTTATGCTCTTGTTAATAGGGTAAGTATTCATCTCTGGTGCGATTTGTCTCATCCCAAGATAAATGTTGAAGTAGCTCAGTTGAATCTCAAGCAAAGAAATACCTATTATTGGTCTTTCTGACTGTAAGGGGAACAGAGATGATTTTTGTGCAGTTGTAAATGTCTACACTTTTCTTTACTGTGTCTAGTTGCTGCAGAGATTGTTGGAAAGGAACTCTTGCAAATCTGGATATCAAACTTGCTGGGCACATACGCTGTCAGAGTTGGCAACAAAGGAGGTAATCACACAGGGTTTGATTATGGATGCCACCCTGATGACAGATGAAAGCAGGGATGTGTTACTTCAAGGCGCAACTGCGGGAAGAATGTTGCATGGGAGAAGTTGTGATATCCTCACTCCCTCCCTGTGTACTAACTTGTTACTAGGCTTATGAACATCTGTATTTGGGAGCACTGGAATTTATGTCTTTTTGTGTCTTGACTTACATTAAAAAAATATATATCCTGTCAGTTCAGATGTTACTGCTGTCATCTGCTGCAGGGAGAGCTTGAAGAGAGCTCAAAGGTAGATTATCCAGTGTTCCAGAGGATACTTGCCTGCTTGCCTGTGGTAGTGGAAGGTGTTTAGGAGTTCTCATATACCATGCTAGGTTGCCCGTGAGTTTAGGTGGGTGGGATTCTTTGAGAAGGGAGGGGGGTGACTGATGACAGCAAATTATTGGTTGTTCTCCACAGCAGCACGAGAAACTGCCATTTTCACTCAGAGGACCTTAGGTCAGTCATGAGCCTCCCACTCCATAAGCCATGAGAACCTCCAGGGAGCTGACACCAGGGAAGCTCTGAGGACCAGAAGAGCCTGTGGGTAACCTGCTGGAAACCAGGGACTATCCATGGTGTGACCTTACCCCAACTCTACCCACGATAGTGGTCTGGCAGTGCTGATAACATCTCAGCACCCAAAGAGCCCACTGCTCTGTTCAGACCTGGATGGACGAAGTGCAAGGCAAGTTTGAGGGATAAGTATTGCATTATTATAATGAATAAATTGTAGGCTAGCAGTTCTAATTTATAAGATTTAAATCTAGGATCTAAATGATGTAACATCCATGGAATCCCTTTTGTCTTCTCCTTTTAGTGTACTTTCCTCCTCAATCTCTTTTTATATAATCTCTGGTTTATTATATGTAATACTGGTGTATTCAGCAGCTAAGTTTGCTTGCTGATCACCAGAAACTCAGCTGCCACTAGTAGTTGGGATGGTGCCAGAATCCCTGCAGGGAGAGCAACAGGGGATTCTGCTGCTCTGAAAGGTCAGGGTACCTTATGAAGAACAGCATCCATGGAGAGTTGCTAGTGGCTGATTACCTTCTTTTTTTGTACCATGGAACACATTAGGCTGGAATTGTCTAAGATCTTAAAACAAGGCAGTGACAGAGCTGGAAATAATCTGAAAAAACCTGGAGGCAGGTGCTATTTGTAACATATTTTCTGCAAATACTTCTTTATTTGGACAGTTTTTGATTGATTATTGCAAATTTTAAAAAACAAAATAAAAATTTCTGCATTACCAAATTTTTGGCGTCCACATTTGATTTTAAATCCAAGGAGATCTGTCAGTCTGATGCTACGACTCTTCACTTTCTTATGTAGTTTTTAAATTTTCCTAGCTATAGCTCCTAATTTGTTGTAACTTACATTCTGAAGAGATAGGACAGACTATAGTCCAATAAAAGCAAGTAATAAGAAGATGTAAAAATGTCTAAAAAATGAACTAGAAAAAATGTCTAAAGCATGGTGGGAATTACTACCATTAACTTTATGCCTTATTTAGTGCCCCTTATTATAATTCCTTTGTATATAATGATACAAGTTTAAAATCCCTTGTATTCCCTAAGACTGAGGCAATCTCTTAAGATTTTGAGATGCTTGAAGTAATTAGCAAAACTCTTCCAGATTTCAGTCCAGAACTTATCTTTTGTACTTCTACATATACTTGATGGCCTAAAACTTAATCTGCATTCATCATCTTCGTCTCCTACCCTTAGAAATAGCTTAGCAAGAACAAATAGTGAATGTTCTACAGAAATGGGTTTAAAGTAGTCTGTTCTGTCTTCTCCTGTGCATCCTGGAGTTACAGTACTGATAGTGTATAAAACACACCTCTATTGTAATAGAGGTAATAGATAATACTGTGTGTTAGGCTTGTGGATACAAAGTGAGGTTTATATTGTCCTCTAGCAAATCAGAGAATGGTAAGATGTTTACTCAAAAGAGGTGCCTTGTCTCATTTTTCCATACCTGTTCTTACAACAGCAGTTATGAAACTAAAAATTACTGCTGTGGTTTTACACAAAAACAGAAATTCTGCAAGAGCAAATTTAATGGAATTTTGACCACTTTGTAGTCTTTGGAATCTACATTTTCCCCACCACTCAAATGATTTAAAATTATAAGTAGTTTTGCAAAGCTGTTAACATTATTTTCTTAGCTCACCCAAAGTTTTTGCAAGAGTTATTATCTATGATGAATCACATCTTTTATTCATATAGTTATAAAAGCATTAAAGCTGTCAGGTATAATTTGCTGTTTTTTCTGCTTTTAGATTCAGCATGGTTTATGAAAATAAGCTAATTTAATAACTAGGGAATCTAAGTTATAATCAAATTTATTATATTTACCAGACTTGAATTTCAGATGGGATAACATTAAAAATGTGCTTGAAGAGGAAAGAGTAGAATTGCCAGTGGGCATTGAATTAGCAACATGAAAAATACCTAAGAATGTTGTGATCAAGAGTGTTATGGTGATGAGAGGAGGAAGAGGAATTTTGTTTATCTTTGTCTGTAGTTTTTACATGTCACAAACTTAAATGAAGGTTAGAACCTCAGGCCAAAGCTTCAATTCAGGGGAAAGAGTGTTCTCTTTTAAGATTTTTCAGTGACTTATAGTGTGCCTTTATAAGGTAGCACTGCAACTCTGCCTACAAATCTCTAAATTTCTGTTAGAAAGGACATGTTGCTGTTTATGTGCATGTGTGAGCACTTGCCACTGTACACAGCATACCAGAAATAATCCCGTGAATTCTGCATCCACCGAATTTCTGCTGAATTCTGGATGAAATTTGTGCTTGGAAAGGCTTCTGGATCAAGGGTTCATGTCAGGAAGTGCTGAATAAAAGGTCTGTTCAAAACCAATCCAACAGAAACACAAAAAAATGAACTCTTTTCCTTTTCTTGTAGCTCATGTCAGTCTCCTCTGAGTCTTGGTCCCCCAACCCTCTTAACCAAGTTTGTGGCACAGATGTTGTCTTATTTATCAATGTATGTTAAGACAGCCTGTTATTTTGGGATTACATAAATTGCGTTTGTATTGTGGAGATTTTTAATTCCCAGAGGTACTGCCTTTTGTGTATGCAATTTAACCTCAAGCAGTTTTTGTTTTTCCCAGGGATTTCTACAGACTTTCAGATATTTAAAAGCTGAAGTTACTTTTCTTTTTGGTTCATCATCTATTAAAGACTTCTGGCTGTACTAAAACTGGCAAAAGAGTTAAACAAGGATAAAAAAAGAAGTGTTCCAGAGAACCAATGTATCATAGAGTACTCCTCTCCTGAAGGTACATTGCCATTTAGAAATCACAGAGAATAATGGTCACACAAATGCAAAGAAGAACTATTTTAAAAAAAGGCCTGAAATTTTGCTTAATATTGACAAGCTCAATTAAAGGAAGAGCTTGAAGTTTGAGAACTTCTAGTGATTACTTTGTGCAAAGGGGATTGTCTCTGTGTGGATGTGGTGCATCATTGACAGGACACAGTAAGTCAGCTGTTCATCTGGCTCTGCTGTAGCTCTAACCCTCCACAGCTGAGAATGCTCATGTCACAAGTGGGAGGAGAAGGCTATTAGCCCCTGGCATTTCAGAAGATGTCTGCACAATGAAGATGTCTCTACAATGCAGAGCTCTTGGTGCTGAAGGTAGTTTTGTCAAAGAGGTTATGGCATAGGGGCCGTAGCTGTTATGAAGAGACAGGGTCTAGCTCTAGAATTCCACATTCTTTTAGTCTCTTTTACAGATATAGGTCTTTGAGGAGTCTCATAGTTTGAGGATGACAAATTTAGGAAAAAAAAGTTGAAGAGAATCTTATTGTTACAGAAGAAGAACTAAATGAACTTTTAGTAGAAAGGTAGGCACACGATGAAATGTCAAATTTGCACACTGCAAAATCTCTGGGTATTATTCTTAAGAGCAAAATGCTAGAATTTTGTGCTAAATGCTCAGTGATTCAGAGCTTGAGGACACAGTACATGAGTAAGTATTTCTTGCTTTAGTCATCAAACAGCCACATTAAAGCATGACTAAGAAGACAGGCAAGGCAGCAGTGAAATGTGGAGCTGATGAGATAGCTCCACACTGAGAGCAGAACTGGAGATGAGATCAAAAGATGATTGAATTGAGTTGATTGCACCTTGCTTAAAAAGTAAAGAAGCAGGGAAGGGTAAGAACCTTTCAATAATTATAAGCAATCAGAGGGAGAAAACAAACGCCAGTAGACAAGATGTAAAAACAGCTCACATGACGCTGTAATCTCATAGTTTATGCTGTCAGCAAAAAGAGATTGGATGAGTTTCTGCAGACTCAACAGTAATTGCCATGCAGCAGCAGTCAGTATTATTGAAATGCTGGAACTGATGGCAACCAACTAGGCTGTCGTGACTGGGAACAGACATCCTCTGAAGAGCATGAGACAGCATTCTGTAGCATGAGAAGTCCTTGCCTGTCAGTCTAAACTAGTGGATTGTTGGGTGGACTGGGACCTGTATCTCTCATGAGATAGGAATTTTGCCTTTTTCTTCTTTAGTGTCTGTAAATACCAGTTTGGTTCTCAGTGAGGATGGAAGAGTCTTCTTTTTTGTAAATGCAGCCTAATGGATATTTTCAGCAGTTACATGTATTCTAAATATCAGAATTAGGAGGAGCAAAGGTTCTTGCGTTTGTGAATGTATTCAAGAAGGAGTACAATGTCAGGAGCTTTTCCTCTCCAGCTCAGTGTGAATTAATGCTTTGTAATGTTCTGGCCATAACTGACCTTGAGTTGAGCTGTTTATATTTCCCCTTGAACAGCTCATGCAGTTCTATATCATCAAGCAGTTGAAACTGGAACCACTTGTGTGAATCTTGCATCAGGAGGTTTGAGGTTGCTGCTAAATGTTTTTGGCCAGTGGACAGAATTAGGATTTGCATTTGCAGCCTCACAAGGGTGGCTGAAGTCTTGAGGGTCAAAGCAGCCACAGTTAGCCGTAAGTCCCTGAACACACAATAGCTTTGAGCTGTATGCCTGTGCTGCCCACCTAAAAAGTGTAGGGAAGGAGTCAGACTGCTCTGTGTTTAATGGGAAAAGGAGTAAAGGCTGTGATGGATGGAAAGGATGCTCTTAAATGCTGTTTAAAGATGTAAAAACTATATAATTTTACCTTCTACTTGGGAATAGCTTATCTAAGGACTACTCTTGAAAGGAATTTCTGGGAAGGCCAGTTACAGGCAGGATTTAGTATTACCTTTGAAATGTTCTTTGTTTCATGGTGTATATTGCATGCACCAGCTTTTCTTCTCAGTTTGCTTGAGAATCATGTGCATAAAAAGGTACCATGAATTAGAAAGTACTGTGCTTATTAGCCTCCTTGGAAGCTTATGTCTGTTCTCCATAACCTGGCAGGATTTACCCCTGTGATTACCCAAATACTCTAAAGCAAAGATCATAGCTGTATATCCATGAAATAGGAAATCTTTAGTGATATCTGTGTATCCTATGAAATAGGAAACCTATAGTGATTAGTCTGGGTTGACATAATTTTCAGAAGGGTTGAGGAGGTATGAAGTTGTGTAAAGTGAGTATTTTAAATTTTCATATGAAAAACTTACTACAAATTAATGGAAGTGTGATCTTACTATAAAGATGAGGTCAGGAATTTTAAACAGTGGGAGCTTAACCTCATGCACGGAAGTCCTTATCCTTACTTTGGACATAAGTAATTAAATAATTAAAAGACTTGGAGGAGTCACAACAACCCCATGCAACACTATAGACTGGGGGCACAGTGGCTGGAAAGCTGCCTAGTAGAAAAGAACCTGGGGGTGCTGGTGACAGCAGCTGAACATGATCCAGGGTGTGCCCAGGTGCCCAAGAAGGCCGATGGCACCCTGGCCTGGATCAGCAGTGGTGTGGCCAGCAGGAGCAGGGCAGTGACCGTCCCCCTGGACTCGGCACTGCTGAGGCCACACCTCAAATGCTGTGCTCAGTTCTGGGCCCCTCAGTGCAAGAAAGATATTGAGGGGCTGGAGCGTGTCCAGAGAAGGGCAGCGGAGCTGGGGAAGGCTCTGGGGCACAAGTGCTGTGAGGAGCAGCTGCTTTTTTTCACCTAGAGAAAAGGAGGCTCAGGGTGAATCGTCCTTCTCTACAGCTGCCTGAAAGGAGGGTGCAGCCAGGTGGGGGTTGGTCTCTTCTGCCAGGTAACAAGTGACAGGATGGAAGAG